TAGTTTAAACAGTTTTAAAAAGTATGAAAAGATAGATAGATAGATAGATAGATAGATAGATAGATAGATAGATTAGCATGTTATTACCATGATTTTAACGTGAAATAGCATGTTGTTAGCATGATTCTAGCATGAATTAGCATGTTACTAGCATGATTTTAGCATGAATTAGCATGTTGTTAGCATGATTTTAGCATGAATTAGCATGTTACTAGCATGATTTTAGCAATAATTAGCATGTTGTTAGCATGATTTTAACATGAATTAGCATGTTGTTAGCACGATTCTAGCATGAATTAGCATGTTACTAGCATGATTCTAGCATGAATTAGCATGTTACTAGCATGATTTTAGCATGAAGTAGCACAATTCTAGCATGAATTAGCATGTTGTTAGCATGATTCTAGCATGAATTAGCATGTTGTTAGCATGATTCTAGCATGATTTAGCATGTTACTAGCAAGATTCTAGCATGAATTAGCATGCTACTAGCATGATTCTAGCATAAATTAGCATGTTGTTAGCATGCTTCTAGCATGAATCAGCATGTTACTAGCATGATTCTAGCATGAATTAGCATGTTGTTAGCATGATTCTAACATGAATTAGCATGTTACTAGCATGATTCTAGCATGAATTAGCATGTTGTTAGCATGATTCTAGCATGAATTAGCATGTTACTAGCATGATTCTAGCATTAAGTAGCATGTTGTTAGCATGATTCTAGCATGAATTAGCATGTTACTAGCATGATTCTAGCATGAATTAGCATGTTGTTAGCACGATTCTAGCATGAATTAGCATTTGACTAGCATGATTCTAGCATTAATTAGCATGTGACTAGCATGATTCTAGCATGAATTAGCATGTTGTTAGCATGATTCTAGCATGAATTAGCATGTTACTAGCATGATTCTAGCATGAATTAGCATGTTGTTAGCATGATTCTAACATGAATTAGCATGCTACTAGCATGATTCTAGCACGAATTAGCATGTTGTTAGCATGATTCTAACATGAATTAGCATATTACTAGCATGATTCTAGCATGAATTAGCATGTTGTTAGCATGATTCTAGCATGAATTAGCATGTGACTAGCATGATTCTAGCATGAATTAGCATGTTGTTAGCATGATTCTAGTATGAATTAGCATGTGACTGGCATGATTCTAGCATGAATTAACATGTGACTAGCATGATTCTAGCATGAATTAGCATGTAACTAGCATGATTCTAGCATGAATTAGCATGTGACTAGCATGATTCTAGCATGAATTAGCATGTGACTAGCATGATTCTAGCATGAATTAGCTTGTTGTTAGCATGATATATAGATAGATAGATAGATAGATAGATAGATAGATAGATAGATAGATAGATAGAAAGAGGTAGATAGATAGATAGATAGATAGATAGATAGATAGATAGATAGATAGATAGAAAGAGGTAGATAGATAGATAGATAGATAGATAGATAGATAGATAGATAGATAGATAGATAGATAGATGGTGTAAGAGCATGAGTCAAACAAGCCAACCCCCGCCTCTCTACGATGTTCTGATGCTGAGATATAGCTGGTGCCATATCGTTGCTAGGTAAATCTGTTTTGTTGCTATGGAGTTGATTGACAGCTTAGACTGATGATGTATCAAAGCTTCTTGCCAGTATGAACAGTTAAAAACAACCCCCATGTCTCTATCACACTGCAGCATGACAATATCAGTCTGAACCTCTTTAATGGCAGTCTATGGGACAGTTGCTAGGGTGCAGTATCTGGTTGTTAGGGTGTGGCTAGACAGTTAAAAGGCCATCAGTGATTGGCTGCTGGCTAGACTGAGTTAAATGAGATCAATCATTAGTCTGTAGGACAGTCTGATGCAGAGTTATGAGCTCACAAAGTTTGATCCCATGTTAAGTCAATGAGAGTCTTTTGCAATGGAAGTCTATGGGACGGTTTCTAGGGTCCAAAAGTGGTTGCTAGGGCGTGGCCAGAAAGTTTAAAGGTGATCAGTCATTGGCAGTTTGATAGTCTGAGTTAAATGAGCCCAGTTAGAAGTCTGTGTGACATTCTGATGCAGAGTTATGAGGTCACAAAGTTTGACCCAATGTTACGTCTATGGGATTTTTCCGACGGTCCCGGGACGTTTTTCGGGAAACCGAAAGTCGGATCAGTCGGAAAGGATATAGCAACTCGAGTCAGAATAGTTCGGAGGTCTGACCCGAGTTTGATGGTCATAGCTTGAAAGGTCTAGGTGGAGATAGAGTTTAATTTTTAGTCTCAGAAGAATAATAATAATATTAACTAGATTCTTAAAGTTTGAGAACAAACTTTGAGGCTGGCTTGTGAAAGCCTGACGGTAATAGTTTATTTAGTTTAAACAGTTTTAAAAAGTATGAAAAGATAGATAGATAGATAGATAGATAGATAGATAGATAGATAGATAGATAGATTAGCATGTTATTACCATGATTTTAACGTGAAATAGCATGTTGTTAGCATGATTCTAGCATGAATAAACATGTTACTAGCATGATTTTAGCATGAATTAGCATGTTGTTAGCATGATTTTAGCATGAATTAGCATGTTACTAGCATGATTTTAGCATTAATTAGCATGTTGTTAGCATGATTTTAACATGAATTAGCATGTTGTTAGCACGATTCTAGCATGAATTAGCATGTTACTAGCATGATTCTAGCATGAATTAGCATGTTACTAGTATGATTTTAGCATGAATTAGCACAATTCTAGCATGAATTAGCATGTTGTTAGCATGATTCTAGCATGAATTAGCATGTTGTTAGCATGATTCTAGCATGATTTAGCATGTTACTAGCAAGATTCTAGCATGAATTAGCACGTTACTAGCATGATTCTAGCATGAATTAGCATGTTGTTAGCATGATTCTAACATGAATTAGCATGTTACTAGCATGATTCTAGCATGAATTAGCATGTTGTTAGCATGATTCTAGCATGAATTAGCATTTCACTAGCATGATTCTAGCATGAATTAGCATGTTGTTAGCATGATTCTAGCATGAATTAGTATGTTACTAGCATGATTCTAGCATGAATTAGCATGTTGTTAGCACAATTCTATCATGAATTAGCATGTTGTTAGCATGATTCTAGCATGAATTAGCATGTTACTAGCATGATTTTAGCATGAATTAGCATGTTGTTAGCATGATTCTAGCATGAACATGTTACTAGCATGATTCTAGCATGAATTAGCATGTTGTTAGCATGATTCTAGCATGAATTAGCATGTTGTTAGTATGATTCTAGCATGAATTAGCATGTTACTAGCATGATTCTACCATGAATTAGCATGTAACTAGCATGATTCTAGCATGAATTAGCATGTTCTTAGCATGATAGATAGATAGATAGATAGATAGATAGATAGATAGATAGATAGATAGATAGATAGATAGAAATAGATAGATAGATAGATAGATAGATAGATAGATAGATAGATAGATAGATAGATATAGGTAGATAGATCGATAGATAGATAGAGGTAGATGGATAGATGGATAGATAGATAGATAGATAGATAGATAGATAGATAGATAGATAGATAGATAGATAGATAGATAGAGGTAGATAGATAGATAGATAGATAGATAGATAGAGGTAGATAGATCGATAGATAGATAGATAGATAGATAGATAGATAGATAGATAGATAGATAGATAGATAGATGGTGTAAGAGCATGAGTCAAACAAGCCAACCCCCGCCTCTCTACGATGTTCTGATGCTGAGATATAGCTGGTGCCATATCGTTGCTAGGTTAGTCTGTTTTGTTGCTATGGAGTTGATTGACAGCTTAGACTGATGATGTATCAAAGCTTCTTGCCAGTATGAACAGTTAAAAACAACCCCCATGTCTCTATCACACTGCAGCATGACAATATCAGTCTGAACCTCTTTAATTGCAGTCTATGGGACAGTTGCTAGGGTGCAGTATCTGGTTGTTAGGGTGTGGCTAGAAAGTTAAAAGGCCATCGGTGATTGGCTGCTGGCTAGACTGAGTTAAATGAGCTCAGCCATTAGTCTGTAGGACAGTCTGATGCAGAGTTATGAGCTCACAAAGTTTGATCCCATATAAAGTCAATGAGAGTATTTTGCAATGGAAGTCTATGGGACGGTTTCTAGGGTCCAAAAGTGGTTGCTAGGGCGTGGCCAGAAAGTTTAAAGGTGGTTAGTCATTGGCAGTTTGATAGTCTGAGTTAAATGAGCCCAGTTAGAAGTCTGTGTGACATTCTGATGCGGAGTTATGAGGTCACAAAGTTTGATCCAATGTTAAGTCTATGGGATTTTTCCGACGGTCCCGGGACGTTTTTCGGAAAACCGAAAGTCGGATCAGTCGGAAAAGATATAGCAACTCGAGTCAGAATAGTTCGGAGGTCTGACCCGAGTTTGATGGTCATAGCTTGAAAGGCCTAGGACGAGATAGAGTTTAATTTTTAGTCTCAGAAGAAGAATAATAATATTAACTAGATTCTTAAAGTTTGAGAACAAACTTTGAGGCTGGCTTGTGAAGCTTAGACTGAAAGTTTAAAGTAATTCTAAGTTTTAAGTAACTTAAAGTATAAAAGTAGTTTTGAATGTAAAAGTATTTTTAAGTAATTCATATTTTAGGTTGTTAAAGTTTAAAAGTCATTTTAAGTTTTAAGAAAGTTGAATATTAAAGGTAGCTTTAAGTAGCTTAAATATTTAAAGTAGTTAAGTAGTAATGTTTTTATGTAGCTTAACAGGGAAGTGAAACACTCAAATTTACATTATTTTGTACATTGAATTCCACTTTAATGAACATATATTAAGCAAACTGGAATAATGTATGTGTGTGTTTTGATGTGGGTGTATGCATGCATCAAGTTTATATGTATATATGTAAGTTTCATAAATGTTGTTTTGAACATAGGTTGATATGCGAGTAATGCATAGGTGCATATACAGGTGTTTTATGTGTTGATACAGTTTGATTTAAATCCTACATGGCGCCTCATACGATCAACTCAATCTCTGAAAATGTATGAAGAACATTAAAACCTGCCATGTGAAAAACAGCGCCTATCTTAGCTTGGTTTGAACACCAAAAGAGGTGAAGGCTTTAGTGGAGAAGAGTAAATGTACCCGCCCCTATGACGTCACCACCGGACCTGGTTGAAACCAAGGCTGAAACAGGTGAGACCATATTTGGCGCGTGACACGTGACTATCTTTGGCGCGTCTGCTAAATAGGTTAATAACCCTCTGATGCTGAGTGAGCTTCTCTTTCATTATGACCCGGGGCGGACTTACCAAAGACAGCACCAGGACATTTCACGTTGACCTAATGGTCAATCTGGAGTGCCACCGTGAATCTGGACCAATCGCCCACCACCAAGCGTGTAAGTGTATATGTCTGTGTGTGCACTTGTGTGACAATATGCCTATCTTTTTATTGAAAAGGGCCACCCCTTCTCAGGTGTGTTTTTCAGCATTGTGGCTGATTTATAGAATGTATACAATTCTCAGTAGGTCTGTGCAATTTATCGAAAATTCGATTTAGTTTTTTACTTATAATGATTATAAAAAAACCATTAATCCAGATAAACGATTATTGCATCATATACCGTCCCGTTTAAAGCTGTACACATTTGTTGCTCTGCAAAGCTCAGTTCCACGTGAAAATGACTAAAACCATGTGCTGTAATTTTTGCAACACGGGATGTGCATCATGCATTGATGTACGTTCGAATCCTTCATATTTTTCACAGCGCGTAAGAGCACGTGCTGTTGGGTGTGTGCGAGCCTCGGAGCCATCTTAATGTGAGTGCTTTAATGGTCAAATACATGCACATTTGTGCCAGAACGCGGAGTTTAGTGAATATTCATAATAACCCTCGTTTGTGTAATAAATAAGTTGAGTATCTTGTATATTTGAGTATATATGTAGAAGACATGTGAAAGAGAAACCATATCAGAGCCGCACTATTCTTAAAGAGACAGCGCGCTGAAAGAGCACGTGCTGTTGGGTGTGTGCGCGCCGCATGGAGACATGCAGAGCATACACATCTTAATGTGAGTGCTTTAATGGTCAAATACATGCACGTTTGTGCCAGAACGTGAAGTTTAGTTATTATTCATATTAACCCTCGTTTGTGTAATAAACAAACAAGTTGAGTATCATGTATAGCTGAGTATATATGTGTAAGACATGTGAAAGAGAAACCATACCAGAGCCGCACTATTCTCAAAGAGACTTTTTCATTATTGTTAATAAAACAACAAATGGAGAAAATCTCTGCCCGCTGCTCTTGACTGAAGGGATTTTTTTTTTTTAGCAAAAAGGCATTTCTTACAGTGAAGATGCCTAAAGCACAGTTTAAACATAACAAATTTAATAACTCATTTCTAATAACTGATTTTATTTTATCTTTGCTATGATGACAATACGTCATAGTTTACTAGATATTTTTAAGATACTAGTATTCAGCTGAAAGTGACATTCAAATGCTTAATTAGTGTAATTAGGCAAGTCATTGTTTAACAGAAGTTTCTTCTGCAGACAATCAAAAATATATATTGCTTAAAGGGGCTAATAATATTGAGCTATTAAAATAGATTTTAAAATATTTAATCCTGCTTTTATTCTAGCCGAAAGCAAACAAATAAGCCTTTTCTCCAGATGAAAAATTATTATAGGAAATACTGTTTAAAAAAAAAAAAAAAATCCTCCGTTAAACATAATTTGAAAAATATTTATATATTAAAAAATTCACAGAAGGGCGAATTTTCACTTCAACTGATAATCGTTTTAAGTAAATCGCGATTACCAATATGACCAAAATAATCCCAATTATGTTTTTTTTCCCATATCAGAAACTGTATTTCTCTCTCTCTCTCTCTCTCTCTCTCATTTTAATTACATTACAGCATCAATTCTTTAAAAGGAACACTATAAAATTGAAAGGCACAATAACTGTTCACCGGTAGTTTATCAATATGGGAAGAAACAATAGCTCAGCATATACCCTCGATCAATGTGTGAACAGATGTACAATGGAAATAATTAAAACCTCAGATTTAAAAATTGGCTTAAATTAACATCAAATAAAATTTAGAGAAGTTAGATTATTATAAGAAAAGTATTACAAAAACTGTTAAGGGTACCTAATATTTGAAATAAAACTACACCTTCTCTGAACTTTACAGATTTCCATGAGACAATTTGTTTTATGATTGGGTGCAGGGAGCCGAGTACTGCTCAGGAACAACAAACACTATAGAATCACTACCAAGGAACACTGATTCCTTTCGCTTCTTTCAATACATGTCCCTCTATGAACTTGGTATGTAAAAAAAAAAAAAAAGTGCGTCACTACCAGCACTGTAACACAGTTTGACATAACGTAATGTTTTACAGCATGTACCTTCACTTTAATAAAGCTTGAAAGAATTCACACTTACTGTTCCCTGTATGCCGTGATGGAGGTGGGTGATGAGAATTTGGCAAATGGATAATGGTGTAGCCATAAATAATTGAAAACATAATTATTATTAAAACCTAAAAGGTTGACTTGACAGTTTGATTTAAAAGTTTGATATAGTTCAAAAAGTTTTATGATAGTTAATGGTGTGAAATGATTAGACTTACTATGTAATGCAGAATTATAATGGTAAATAAACACAATTTACACACATTTAATTTTTTATTAATTACAATTGTATAATTGTGTTAGTTAACAAAACCGAAATACACATACATTGTTTCAAATATTTAATTCAACTAGCCTAATGTAAAATAGAAACCGTAAAGAACAAAGGTAAAACAGAACTGTAAAGAACAAATTTAAATGACTGTAGCCTAATTGAGAAAATTAAGCAAACTGGAAACTTTACTTGAGGGTTGTTCATTAGACTGTCATGAAAACTTTAAAATCATGACACGATATGTATATGAAAGAGTTTATGCATGCTTATGACAACTGTCATTAGCACAGTTATGCCATTTTAAATGCTAAAATTACATAATGTGACATGGCAACACGTTCATAACAACATGACATAAATGCATCGTAACCTATTTTTTGCTTTGTGACACCTAATGACAGTTGTGATAAGCTGGCAAAAAAAAGTTTTATTCATTATACATGTCACGATTAAAAAGGTGAGTTTTATGAACACCCCTTGAACCTTTCCTCACAAACCCTAGAAAAGGCAGTCCATTGAGTCCTGAGTGTCTTCTGGATGGACCTGATTGGGGTCAGCAGATCCTCCACTGTGAACATCTGGAGGGCCCTGATCCGCATCAGCAGATCCTCCACTGGGAACATATGGAGGAACCTGATCCACACTGGCAGATCCTCCACTAGGAACGTCTGGAGGGACCTGATCCACACCAGCAGATCCTCCACAAGGTACGTCAGGAGGGACCTGTTCCACACCAGCAGATCCTCCACGAGGTACATCTGGAGGGACCTGTTTCACACTGGCAGGTTCCACGTGGAGGACGCTTCCACAGATGTGCCTGAGTTTTAATTGAAGTGGGAGCTGGTTTGCCAGCTCCTCAATAGTGCCTGCATAGAAATGTACAGGCACTATGTACTCATCCATATGGCTATCCAGGAGGATGAGCTTGTCGTGCATCTCTGACACTCCAACGATCTCAAGAACTGCCTCCTGGATATCCCTATCAATAAGCTGAAAAACAAAAAAAATTTAGAAAAGGTTAGTAGAAAAGATTCAACTTGCATTTGATAAAAGTAACCGTATTTTCTGTGGATTAAGTTATCTTTTTTTAAATCATAAAGGGCGCCTATTTTATCAATTTTTTTCAAGGTTTAAGATAAGTTTTTGTGTCTCGAATGTTTTTGTAAAATGTTGGCTCAAAATACCCATCAGATTATTTATGATACCTTTCTCTATATATGAAATTTGAGCTGTAATGATATTATAGCTGTTTTGTTGCTTGTGCCTTTAATGCAAATGAGCTAGTTCATGAAGTTAAATCCCAAATTGATTTGCACATACAGTATTTTATAGAAACTATTCAAAAGTGCAATACTATATACTAATTGCAAATAAGGGTTTTCAGATTCATCAGATGAACTACATTTTGGTAGAAAAAATATATTTTTTTCGTATACATTTTCCAATAATTTATGTAATGCGAACAACAGAAAAAAAAAAACTTAAGGAAAAGTTTAATTTGTACTCTTCGTGTTTTTAATCAAACAGCCTTCTGTGATGTTTTATCCACTGTTCATCTGACACTACTATAATCGTTATTAAGGCAACAATGTCATTTCATTTCTAAATTTTTAATGTCTCTTGAAGGTTAACACTTTTAAATGTGTGTGGATTACAGATGTGCAGCATATAATGTTTACCTTAAAAGTTGTGTGATTAGAAGAGTCGAATTTTGCTCTTCCATCTGGTCTTCCGTTTACTTTCAGGTGACTGAGCTCAATGATGTCCCCGACATAGAGCTCGTTAAGTGCTTCTTCCCGCCACAGTGAGACATCGTGTACTACGGAGCCACATTTCATCCGCAGGTCCAGGATCGGTATGTGAGTGCGAGTCATTCTAGGCACTTCAACCTGGAAAATGACAAAAAGGTAAGTACTATAGTGTTTTTATTTATTTATTTTTTTCTTAATCCTGACACAAGAGTTTACTGTCATTAAGTCGGACTGTATGTTTTGGTGATTTGAAGTGTCAACATTAGCAGAAATCGCCTGTCTAAAGACATGCGGTACAGCTGAATTGGGTAGAGTAAATTGTCTGTTGTGAATGAGTGTATATGTGTATGAGTGGATGTTTTCCAGAGATGGCTGGCAGCTGGAAGGGCATCTGCTGCGTAAAACAAATGCTGGATAAGTTAGCGGTTCATTCTGAAGTAGCGACCCCCAAATTAATAAAGGGACTAAGCCGAAAAGAAAATGAATGAATGAATTCACTTACTTTTTCTAACTGCCCCCGTAGACTCAGGTACCCAGTTTCACTGAAGATATCCTCTTCCTCTCCTGTTATAGGTCGTGAAGGAGGACAGAGGGCCTCCCTTGCAGCTCTTTTAGCCTCCTCACTTATGGCTAGCGGAGCGGTCCTAAATTTGATGGTGCCTTTATTTACAAATAAACATCGGCGGCCATATTTGTTTGAGATGGTTACATTTTTTACAATATATGAGTGTCCCTCTTCAAATTCAGGGTCACTGCCGTTTTTTATGGACAGATAAACTGCATCACCATCCGTAAGGGCACATAAAGATGTGACTTTGTAGGTGTCAACAATTATTTTGTTTTCATGTTTAATAAAGGTCACAGCCTTTTGGCTACTGTGCACTTTAACACAGGTGATGTGCAGTGGTGGTGGGCGGCTGTACGGTGTTGCCATCCTAAGAATAAGAAAAAAAGGTTACTTTGTATTAGTTGTAAATATTATGTAGAATAAATTATAATTTCTTTTTAACCCAATTCATCAATTAAACATATCAATTAATCTAAATCTGTTTGTCTTGACTGGAATGTTGTGCTACATCCTCCTTCAAAATATCATATATTGTGTTTTATAGAAGAGAGAAACTCAAAGATTTGTAAGCATATAAGGGGGGAATAAATTTTTTTTTTTTTTGTGAGGGGGGTATTTATGCTTTTTAAAGATTATTAAATATTTTGCATGGCCAAAGTCTAACAATCTAGGCCCAAATCAAGGCCTTCCTAACATCTCAAGCATAAAGACAATAGGAAAATAATTGGCATACAATGAAGAGTCAAACTCTTTAAAACCAATAATTTACCAAACTTGTCACCAGTAATAGTTAATTTTACCAAATCATGCCCTAGGTGGGTGTGGAATGTCCTGACCTAACTGTCTCAGTCTGCCCATGCATAGTACTGTATAACTATAATCATATTGGCATATCAGAAATAACAATTGGATAATTATAAATAGACACATTTTTACAGAATACCATCGATGCACTGTTTTATGAAACTTGTCACACTATAAGTCCTGACAATATAGTTTATAATGCTGTAATTGTTAAAATGAGGATAAAATACCTGGAAAAAACACTTCCTATCAGATCAAATTCTGTCAGAAAAACTATTATAGTTTACAGATTTCTATTTATTTCTTTAGATTTTGAGATTCTTGGTATGGGATTTCATCGAGGTCTGCAGTGTAGTATACAATTCATTGAAAATCCAGTAATAAATAATGCATTTATTCTTAGGAGTATTAACCTGTGCAGATACTCAGAGCACCGTTAAATATAAGCCACTGTTATTTTTTTTATATTTTATTATAAATTGGGCATATAGTATTACACAATGTTTTATTTATATAGAGCATTTTTCTAAAGTTTTTTTTAATTTTTATTTTATTATAACACAAGAAGTTTGTAAAGGGTTCACTGTGAACATCAGCCTGCTTTCAAGATTTAAGATAAGTCTTTTGTGTCTTCAGAATGTGTCTAAAGTTTCAGCTCAAAATACCCATCAAATTATTTATTATACCTTCCTGGATATATATTAAAAGTCACATGAACATTATTTGAAGTAAAAAGTTAAACACAAACACAGCTGAATGAAATATTGAGTATTATTCAATTATACGACTAGTCTGTAACAGTTAGCAGGGTTTTTCACAGCATTTTTATTGATGAAGTGGTAATTTCTTATTTATTTCAGTCACATTAACTTTTTAAAATTAAAATAAGAATAAAGTAAAAAACTAATTTAGATAAAATTGCCTCAAACACTAAAAACCCCATTCCCGGCGTATAAATGATCATACTATAATTATTAAACTTAACGTTACGCATCCAGCTGTATTCTGACAAGATTTGACTGGACAGAAGTGTTATCTGAGGTATTTAAAAAAAAAACCAAAACCATGTTATTTTATAAAGCATCTGTAGAATTTATAGTATAATATCATAATTTAATTATACTGTAATCATATAAAAGCTAAATAAGAATTAAAAAGCTCTCACCTCAGAAGTATGCTGTCTGTTGTACAACTGAAAGAATTGACAGTGATGTGTATCCAGTCAGAAGCGAGACATCCATCACCAAGGCTCATGACGTCAGATGGAAACCTTTATCGAATGATGTTCATGCATTTTTGTTTATTATTTTTATTCATATAATAAATGTTGATTGACAATGTGGCGCATCCAATCGGAAGCGAGACATCCATCACCAAGGTACATGACGTCAGATGGATGTCCATGTGGATTGACAGTGAGGCGCATCCAATCAGAAGCAAGGCATCCATCACCAAGGGACATGACGTCAGATGGAAACCTTTTATCAAATGATATCCATGTCTTTATTTTTTATTTTATTCATGTAATGTTAATTGTTATTTAAAATTCATTATATGTAGTACATTGAAACATTTCTGAGGTCATAATTCATAAAAATATCACACTGATGTATTCTCTTATTAAATGAGTAATGTTTTACGTTGGTCACTAGAGTGTTAAAAGACGATTGTATGCTTATCAAAACAATTATTACGATTTTGTTTTGAGTTTTATCAGTAACAATACTTATAATTTTAGTTGATATCTTTTATATTTATAATTATGTATTGTACCTTATTTTGTACTAATATTTTTTAGATATAAGCAAGATAAATTTGCGAAATACCTTGGTATTTCTTTAAAAAAAAAAAAAAAAAGGTAAACAAATATTAACGTAAACATAAGAGCTGGCCAATGAGACCGCTGGGATTTTCCATAACCTGTCCTTAATCATCCGGTCCGATGGTCCGCACATTGGGTCTCGCATTAGGAACGATTTCTGAGGTAAATTTTCAATTAAATGTTAAAAAAAATGCGTACGAGTGCTTAAATTGGCTATATTCAGACAGATATATTATGAACTAATTGTTTTTGAGAAACGAATAAATCGTTATTAAGCATTACTATTAAATTAGTCTTGTGAGGGAACTATACCGGATGGTGTGTGACGAATTTTGTCCTCAGTCTAATTTACTCGCATTTTATACCTCCTGTTCGTTATTTTGCCATGTAAACAGTATTAATTCAGTTTGTAACGTTTGACCCCTTAACGTTATATGCTTTATAAAGAAATGCAGTCGTTTGTCACTAAATAAACTCTTGACTTTTATCCCAAAAGTATGCATTTTTTCTGTTAGTCTCCAGATTTGATGAAATATTGATGGATTCTCATGTCTTTACTTGATATTTTACCATTTTTACCCATACTGAGGCGATGAACTTAGAGCTTCATGCCCATTTCATTCATACGGGAAACCAGAGGGCGCCATACATAAAGGCCTTTGGCCTAGCGCAGGGGTGCTCAATCCTGTTCCTGGAGATCTACCTTCCTGCAGATTTCAGTTGGTACCCATATCAAACACATCTGCCTGTAATTATCAAGTGGTGTGCAGGTCCTAATTAATTAGTTCAGGTGTGTTTGATATGGGTACCAACTGAAATCTGCAGGAAGGTGGATCTCCAAGAACAGGATTGAGAATCCGTGGCCTAGCGGATCGCACGTAGATATTTACATGCACGCCGTCTTTCCTTTGTTTACTAGCGTTGCTAAGCAACGCAAACAGATGACAGTAAAAACTTAACCCGTTATATAAGATGTAGTAAAAGCATTTTCATAGTATTCTCATTTTGTACATTTTATTTCTCATTCTGTGATAAGAATTTAGCCTAATGTAACCTTAGGAAAGCAGCACATAAACCACAAAAGTAGTTAAAGTGCTGCTTAACAGACAGACAAATAATGGAACTTTACATATTTATCTTAATAGACACATATTCATCCATCCCTGTGTATTATTTGGCACGTCTCCCTTTTCTCCACGTTTTTCCCTTTTCAATTCAATCATTGTTTTGTTTTGTTTTTGGCATGACAAATGTATTGCCAGATATACAATAAGTTCCTGTCTATGTATACTTAATATTCTAATAGTTCGACATTATATATTAACAATAACAATACAATTTATTCCTGGCTCAAAATAAGGTAGAGGTGGTGATCAAGAATTTTTTTCCTACTTGAAACAAACACATTTTGCATCAAGTAAATATAATTTAATTGAAAAGAGACATTAAATGTAATTACAAAACATTATTAGCTAATCTGTTTATTTAAAGTAATCTCACATTCTATGATATATATGAGTAAATATGAAATGGATGCAACAATAATTTAAAGTGACGCAGTGGGTAGCACGATCACCTCACAGCAAGAAGGTCGCTGGTTTGAGCCTCGGCTGGGTCAGTTGGCATTTCTGTGTGGAGTTTGCATGTTCTCCCCGTGTTGCCGTGGGTTTCCTCCGGGTGCTCCGGTTTCCCCCACAGTCCAAAGACATGTGGTATAGGTAAAGTCTGTAGTGTGTGTGTGTGTGTGTGTGTGTGTGTGTGTGTGTGTGTGTGTGTGTGTGTGTGTGTGTGTGAATGGGTGTGCATGGATATTTCCCAGTGATGAGTTGCAGCTGAAAGGGCATCCCCTGCTTAAAATAAATGCTGGATAAGTCGGCGGTTCCTTCTGCTGTGGCGACCCCTGGTTAATAAAGGGACTAAGCTGAAAAGAAACTAAATGAATAATTTACAGAAGTGTTTTATTAAACTATAAAAAACTGAATTCAACTAAGTCTGAGACAGACCAAGGGTATTTTAAAGCTTACTGTACAATTATTTCAAAGATTTTTTTTTCTGACTACTGATGAAATGAGACCAAAAATAAAATAATAAACCAGCAAAATAATCATGTTCACAGCACAAATGCCATAATGACTTCATCACGTGTAGCTGTGACTGGTTACCTAATTGTTGTCAAGGTGGATGTGGTACAAATTTAACAAGAGAGAATTTTCTATGCAAAATCATGAATAATAATATTGTAACTTTAAACTAATATCAGTGAACTATAATAATGATTTCTTTATTTTCTTTTCATTGCTTGTCTATAAATGTGCCATGTCTATATCTTTGTATACCAGATCATTGCACCCTCTGCTCCAAGTTATATTTTAACTAAATGTTTTGGCAGTAACTGTCAAGGTTTGTATTTGTTTATCTATTGATCTACTTATTTTTTACTCATCTTTTAGATTGTGTTGTCCTCTACCACTTCTTCCAGCTGAAGAGTGATCACCAGTACCTTTCTTAAGGTAATTAATGTTCATTTTCACCTCATTAGTAGTGATTTACAACTAATTTGTTTAATTTTTCTGACTATTAAATGTGAAAATTCTGAATCGTCTTAGATATTTCTTTGATTTAATAAATGTTTTTCATGGGATTGTGGCTGCATTGGCCTTCTTTGCAAGTATCATTTTACATGTTACACATTATCTGTTTAAATTTTAATTTATTGTACATGTACTGTAAGTTCTACATAGACATTGCCATCATAATTATCTACCATTT